TTGCCCTTGTTATATTTCATTAAGTTTTTCGAAGCAGGTAAAGATTAAAATACAAAGCAGAAACTTCAGAAAGCGGATGGAGGTACAAGTTTTATGAATCCCACACTGTCTTTAAAGGAATTCACTACTGCAAATAGTGCAGTAATTCTACAATAAGGATGCCAGATGCTGATTCAGTAGAAGAGACAGAGATGGATTTTTCTTTTAAAATAACTGGCAACACCAGACTCCCCTTCCCCGGGGCTCTCCCTGAGCGGCTGGGACTGAGAAACGGGGTGGTGAGGGATACCATCGACCACAACGTCTTGCCTGGTCTTGCACAACGAGCTGGCTCCAAGTTATGGAAATATTAACCAAGTAACCAGATCAGACATGATTCAGCCCTTCAGCATAATCCCTCTTCACAAAACCACAAAGCAGTCATCAACCTCTTCCGCCCGCAGAAAACGTCTTACGTGAGTGTCTCCTGCAAGCAGGATGCCTTGGCCAACGTTTGCAACAAATCTGGTTGCCTACTGGCTTAAAACATTTTCATGTGAGAAACCATCCCAGGTTATCTCGGTCTCTCATGCAGCCTCTCCTCTCAGCTCACACCCAGGACAGGTTGCTGCAGAACTGCTCTGTTCTGATCCCCTACCCAGCTGGCCTACACAACACGTGTTGGAGAGGAAAGCAGCAGAATGGGGAAGCCCAGAGGCCAGGGGACTCGGAATTGGGCAGACAGAGCAATCATGGGCTGCATTTTTGGACTAGATGATCTTTTGAGGTCCCTTCCAATCCTTAACATTCTGTGATTCTGTGTGTGATTTTAATTGCCAGGCCAGCCTTTGGATGAAGCATCCTGATTTGAGTTTGCCTTCAAGTTACTAGGCTGAAGTGCCTCACATTTCTTCCACCTCTCTCATGTCCTTCTCCCACTTTCTGCTGACCATTACCTGTACTCCTACTATGATTTTTCTGCACCTTCAGATTGGATCTGAGTGTCAAGGCAGCAAGTTCAGTCCCACACTGGAGCAGTCACATTACTCCTACGCTAACTGCAGTTTAATTTCACATTACAGATACAGCAGGATTCTGCATGAACAGTGCTGACAACAAGAACCATGCACACAAAGCAGCAATAATTAGAAAGCAAGACAAACACTTAACACCTTATGACTTAAAGTGGCATCCAAACTGTAACAAAAAGATATCATCCAAACATCTTCACAGTCCTCCTAAGAGATAACAGATGCCTGCTCCAAGCAGCTTTCTGCCTACGTGACTCTTCGGTGCTACATACCCCTCTTTCTTGCCACAAAGATTTACTCTTCTCTTAAACGATCTCTAGTTCAGAAAATGAATAAAGATCCTATTTCCTACTCTGGATTACTGAGTGCTTTTGTATTAACCAGACTCTGAAGGGAAAGTGTCCCCAGCAAGAGCCAGTCAGACCTGTGCTGGTGACCACAGACAAGATGTCGAACTTCAGCCCAGCATCTTGTGAAGTGTGGTACCAACCAGCAGGTGAGGTTCTGAGTAAATACTAAATACGAAGAAAAAGATCAGTTGGCCAAAAGCAAAAGCTCTTCCCAGTAACGTGACTCCTGACAAAGCTCTCGCATGGAAAAGCATCTCCTGCCAAGAGAGGATTTCACCCCGATGGAGAGCTGGTGGGTTTGCCCAACGCCGAGCTGCTTGGGCTGAGATGGACATAAGGTGAATATACAGCTTCTCCCTCGCTCTCCTACAGGAGTGACCACCAGGAGCACGCACCAGCGAACGTCTTTATTCAGCACTGGCATCGGTACAACAGATGTCTTGGAAGTAATCGCTGAGAAAAAAAGAAAACTGCATTTCCACGCCCACTGAATCCGTGCCCTTCTGGCTGGGAACGCTGACAAGACTTTCCTGCAATACCCTGATACATTTGCAACATTGCCCATCAGGGACTGGACTGAAACCACAAACTGGTTTCCAGTAGACAACCTAATAGCTATCAGATGGTCGTAATTTTCTTAATTTAGCATCATCAAGATAGCCAGTTAAGCAGGGAACATTCTCCATCACTAACCCCTTAAGTCAGTGGCAGTGCTTTTGAGAAAAAAATAGTTCAACTTACGCTTCAGCTGGTGTTTCTGGAATTACTTCAATAACATAAGCCCCAGAGACAACATCAGGAAAGTCTTTATGGCGATCCTTCAGCTCTCTAGCTTTGCTGGAAAATGAAGAAATAGCAAAGAAAAATATTTTGACAAGATAAGAAAAAAAAAAAATCACTAATTTTTACTTAGTTAACTCGCTTAACATACACTACCTGAGGTATTTTACACATGTCGATGTGACACTTCACAATTTGTTTTAACCCTTAAAAGTATTTCAAGAATTGTTCTATCTTTTGCATGCCTACTGCTTTTTAATGCATATTTCTGGTAAAGACAAACATTTCAACAGATACAGAGGATCTGGCTTAAAACATTTCAAAACTTAGTCATAACTTTAGAACTAGCAGATCCTGAACACCTGAAAAAAACCAAAAAGCCTTTTCAGTTTCCAATGCTTTGTTATACCTTTGATCCTGCACTTGGGAAAACTTCTGGTTATTTTTACAGGATAAAAATATGAGTCTCATGAGTCTTTTCTGGTTTGAGTATGAATAAGCAAGTCCACACAAAAGCTTCATTTTATATTAAGTGAATTGCTTAATGAAAATAATTTTAAAGAAATAGCAATATGCATGGAGCTGCTGTAATTCTTGAAAACATATTGTCCTGTTTTCTCCTTGACCCACATGACAGCACAGGACAGATGGTACCGACAGTAACAGAGCCCCAGGACAAATCAGCAATCAGTAGGTATTGTCTTCTGTGGCATTAGGGAAAAGAAAGAGCCAGGGAGTTGTTTAAAAACTAGCTCACACCAGAGTCTACAGGAGAGTTCAAGAAAAAGGCAGCAAAAATCGGTTGCAAGTTGTCACCAACACCTTTGGAAGCACACGGTGCTGGTTCACCCTCCTGGTTGTTTATGCACATCATGAGCTTGATCCAAACACTCCCAGTGACCACACTTGGGAAAGGTGAGGAACCACCACTTTTGCTTACCTGGGAGTTAGGGACATCATTCGAATGCCGATATATTTCTTTTTGGTTATAGCTTTTCCTACAAAAAAGAAAACAGGTCTTGATCAATTGCTCTCACCAAAAGAGCCTCAAAGGCCGTTGACTTTCTGGTTTACTACTATTTTCATGTTTTTCTCTTTCAAAGCAGAGAAGTACAGTACCTTTAGCTTGTCTGTCATGGGATTCCGTTAGGAACTTCTTGATTTTATCCGATGGGATAGCAAACGAGATCCCTGCTGTAACTTTTAACGTGTTAATTCCTATGACTTCACCATCCTGGAGAAAGAAAAAATTGTTATTAGTAAACATCAAACATCTCAAAGAGAAATGGATGATTTCTTCCATGAAATCACAAAGACAAATCCCCACAACACACTTTGTAGTTCGTTTTCAATTTTCTAAATGGTTTCTTGAAGTCTAATTTTTTGAGCCTATTGATAAAAAAGTATTTTACAATTTTGGAAAACTGATGTGGATATTCATCTTTGAGCAACTTGGTCTAGTGGAAGGTGTCCCTGCTGATGGCAGGGGGGTTGGAACTGGACGATCTTTAAGGTCCCTTCCAACCCAAACCAGTCTATGATTCTATAATTCTATGATCTTGCCACTAGCAGAAGACAGATCAGAATTGGGCAGTTCTCCTACTTGCAGCAGAGGAGCAGCATGTTCTACAGCCAATTTTGGTCTGTTTATTTCAGCAAGCACCTCACGAAGCATGGCACTGACCAGTTCTGAGCAGAGATTGCATAATAATACAAAGAAAAACGTCAGTTCATCAAAATCAAAAGCTTTTCCCAGTAATGTGGCTTCAAGAGAGAGTTTTAGATGAAACATCTCTGCTGTCACTTGATAAGCCAAGCACTTGTGGTATCTCAGCAGCTCCCTTCCCTGATCTATCCCAGATAAAAATGATCCAACTACAATTTTTCAAATGGAGGTTACTGGTGCTGAAATTGTACTGCGAGTCAAGTGGAAAAAAAATTGCCAAATCTCCAAGGCAGAAATTCTGAGTAGCTCTTTCTTCTCTTTGAGGACCACCGCCTCTCCTCCGTTCAACTCCGCGTGCCCCCATCTGAGAGCTCCCACACAGCAGCGGGGTTTTGCAATCTGCTTCAGTTGTTCTCTCCTGGGCTTACCCACAGCTGCTGCAAGGTCTGACTATGTTCTACAATATCAACAAATAAGCCCTAATATCCTGACAGATGTGTGGGATTTTCTACCCTTTCGGTGTGATTGAAAATAAACGGGTAGATGTGTTTGTGAACTGTTAAATTCAGTTTCAATATGCAAAAAATATTGCTGGCTGCGTGGTACACGGTGAGGGCAAACGCCTCAACTTTAAAATGTGCTTTTTACTTTTCACCAGCCATGGGCAACAAAAATTGGGCATTACACTTGCTCAAAGCTATGCAAACCATAAACACCTTAGATATTGAAATCCAAGTGTATCTTGTGATTTGCCAACATAAACACAGACTAGTGATTAGCAAGAAACATGTGAACTTTGTGTCGTCAGTCAGATATCGAAAGCTCTGAATCATATTTCTGGTGTGGGGTTTTGTTTGTTTGTTGGTTTGGGTGGTGGTTTTTGTTTTGTTTATAAACTAAAAAGTAAAAAGTAATAAGCTTGACACTAAACAAACTTAAAGAAAACGCTTACCAGATTTACTAGCGGTCCACCAGAGTTTCCATACTGAAAATAAACATATGGCAAGAACATGTTTTAATATCTACCACTTAATTCATGGCAAGCAAAACATAAAAGAAATTTTTGAAATATTTCTGTAGTAATTTTTTCACTGTCTATTATATATGTGAAATAGAACAGTCTTAACATCCAAACCCATTAATTACACTTAACACCACCCCTTTTAGCTGAGCTTTGCACAGGCTTAGTCCTTCTTCTCTTGCCAGAGCAAGTTAAGAAAGCCAAGGTTTTTCTTTTGTTTTAACAGTACCACACTAGCAACTTAGAAGATTTTAGGACAGATCTGGGAGCTGTTAGCAAAGATTTCTTACAAGGCCAACAGCAGAAGCAGAAAAACTATCGTTTTGCCTTAATGCAGAAACAAACTTGAATCCTTAAACTAAGCTTGGCTTCTTTTTAGAAAACATAATGGATTTTGAAGAGTTATTTATTCACCAGGGAATATTGCCTCCTCCCTTGTAATTTGTAAGAATTTTGAAGTGAAGGCAGATATTGTACTTGGTGTGGTTCCTTGGGGGAGGTTTAAATAACAATCAAGTGCTGCTGCACCACAGATGTCCGTATTTACAGGGATAAAAGAAAAGCCCGCTATGCTCACTGTTCTTAAGAATTGTATCACTGGTGAGATTTTCAAAGCAACTATTTAAGAAATTTATAGAGCGGAAAGGGACGAGGTTCAGAGCAGGACCTACATTGATGATGGCATCTGTCTGAATATAATCCATATCGGAGTTGCGGAGCCCCAGCTCCTTCCCTCCACGTTGAGTGGTACTAACGATCCCCGTAGTCACGGTGTTTTGAAGGGAAAATGGACTTCCAATGGCAACCACAAATTCTCCTGGCCTCAAGTCTGCAGACTGACCGAGCAGAAGGACTGGCAATTTACCCTACAAATAAAAATAACATTTTTTTTTAAAAAAGAAACAAGAAAAATGCAAATGTTAAGACACTACTACACCAGTAGAACAAACTCCACAGAAACATGAATACACTCATAGAGCAGAGGAAAAGAGAGGCTTTCATCCCTTGAGGATTTTCCTTGCTCTGTTTTCTTTGAATATTTCATGTGGCTTCACGTACAGAAACACCTCAATGAGCTTTTGCTCTAAAGAGTGGGCTCTTTAGACTGCAGGAGTGCTTTTTCCACAACAGGTACCCATTAAATCAAAAACAATTAAAAGACCAAAGGCATATTTATGCTCTGCTGTACAAAGCAGACATCTGACGATACTAAGCATGAGTTGTTTCCAACAGCTTCTTGAAATAATTAGCCAACAGCTGCTGAAGCGAAAATATTGTTTAAGAGCGAGCACTAAAGAGTAATGAAAGGGAGAGCCAAGTGTATCAAACATGCATATGTAGTTAAAAGTGTTTTATATTCTCATAAGACACCAGCTAATGTTTCATCTTTCTTTTTTTTCAACTGAGTATCTCTTCGAAAGAATAAAATTGCTGCCTACATACACTGACGTCTTCTGAAGATGTTAAGATTTAAAGACTTCATGGGATTTTTCTGTTATGACAGTAAGGGATACTATTATATTTTCCTTTCAAGATCTTATCTCTAAGCATATGAACTATCATGTTATTGAAGACATTCCCACTAAGACACAAAACATCCTTAAAATCCAGCATCAAGAGAGATCACTGCAATTTATAGCAATTAAAAACAAAAACAAAAAAAAAGAAAGGGAGGGAAGGTTGAATCCACAGCCTTCTGCCAATGCAATGGATCAACCGAGTATGGTTTCTCCAAGACATGTTTTATCTGCACAGGAACTGAACTGGCTGGATAACAGATGATTCAAACTCGACCTATAACCCCTCCAGAGCAACTAGAAAACAGCTGGCAAGTTCTTAACACCTCCTACTCATCAAATAATTAAGCAGAGTGTTCTGAAACAGATTATATTTCAAATAAATACTCTGTATTTATCACCTGCCTGTAAAATACACATTCAGCTCCACTTCTCCTTTGCATTTTTCAAAATCAGTCTTTAGCCTTTCAGTGATGTTCATAGAATCATAGAATGGTTTGGGTTGGAAGGGACCTTAAAGCTCATCCAGTTCCAACCCCCCTGCCAGCAGCAGGGACACCTTCCACTAGACCAGGTTGCTCAAAGCCTCATCCAGCCTGGCCTTCAACACTTCCAGGGAGGGGGCATCCACAACTTTCTTGGGCAACCTGTTCCAGTGTCTGACCACCCTCACAGTGAAGAACTTCTTCCTAATATCTCATCTAAACCTCCCCTCTTTCAGCTTAAACCCATTTCCCCTTGTTTTGTCATTAATTGCCCTTATGAAAAGTCCCTCCCCAGCTTTCTTGTAGGCCCCAAAAAAATGTTACACATTTTTTACTCCTTTCACATTTAATCTCTTGTCCAAATGATCCTGACCTTCCCCAAGTATTTAACTACATATTTAATCACGTTACTAGACTGTTTCTATTAGCCGCAATGGACCTGGACATGTATAAATCTTGACTTAAGGATTTGGAGGATTAGCAGGTTACTGAACCCAAAATCAAAACAGAAGTCTGAAGGGACGTATCTTTTGCTTGGCAAATCTCACTTTAACATAGCTTTCCTCCAAGCTTGCCCAACTTCAAAATTCTTTCCTTTGCTGAACAAACCAGCCCCAAAAGGAAAAAGGCACGAGTCTAAACTTTCATAACAGGTTAATTTAAACTGATTTCCATGGACATTCCAGTAACATCGTCACTTTATTACAAAAGCAGATTACCTTCAAGGTATTCTTGAGCTGTGTACCTAAAATGGAGGTACAAATTGGCTTAATACCTCTTCTTGTAATTAATTCCTTCTGGAAAACTTCTAAAGGTGCCTTTTTCACCTATACCTGTTCCAGAGCACACAGATTTATGGGCCTATACTTGGTGGGATCATAAAGTTATACACTGTGTGCTCATCTAGCAAAGAAAGAAGGCAATATTTAGTATGCCCTGATTATTTGTACAGGTTCCCAAGTTAGTGATAATTTTGTTTCAGAAGTTAATAGAAAGTAAATCATTACTAAATTTTAGTAAAAATGAAAATATTATGTGTTTAAATGGGAAATCAACGGCTAGCTCTTTAGAGGTCTTTTCTCACCAGCAGTTTGAAAGCCTGTATTGATTAGTCACCCTTAGGGACAAAAATCCACTAATAAAAACTAACTCAAAATGCCATTTACTTTGTATTTTTCACCTACAGTTTCATTTCCAATGTCCTAGGAGATACACAATGTCTGTGAAGTTGAAAGCAAGAAATGAATGGCATCAATCATCACTATATGCCACTGCAAATACAGAAGTTATGATTTTAATATTGAACAGGCCCGGTCCTGTGTATCCTTTGTAATAATTCCACCAGCAAAATTTTACTCAGATGAACAGATTGTTTCAATAAAACTCATTGCCAAATCCCAGACAGGATAAGATGCTCTATGGAAACTTATCCTTTTAGTCTCCAGACAGCAAGAAAATAATTAACCAACTGCTTGTTAAACAGAATCAGTTGGAAGAGGAATAGACTAGGCAAGACAGTAAGGAAGAAAACTTTCCCTTTCTAATTATCTTTCAGAGGAAAGTTTGGACAACCAGCAATGCCCTGCTATTCAATAATAATTATCCATGGTCCCTACCAGTGCCACAGCCATAGATAAACCCAACTGAGACTATGACTTAATTCTGGGAAGGATTCATTAGCAATCCCCAGCTTCCCCTTTGTGTTTGCAGCGCGACAGACGAGCAGCAACATCCCAAGGCAACGGTGCTGAGCAGTTGATCATCTCAGACCACAGCCCTGACTCCAAGGGACCTCTCCAGTACAGCAGGGAAGAGGCAGCTACGATTAGCTGTGCTGGGAAGCACGCAGTGCATGCAACACAAACAGCCCCATATGGGTATTGTTTGGAGCACCCTGGCCCTTCCTTCTCTCGCCAGATGCTATTCAGCTTACGTAGCACGTGTTTTCAAGATGTCGTTGGTCAAGAAGAGCATCTTTTTTTGGCACTGCTTTTCCTTATTTTGAAAAAATAAAAATCCCCAAAAAAAGAACATTAAAAGTGGCTTTTGTTTGTATCCCAGTGCACTGAAAACGGATACTTTCTAGAGAAAAAGGACATTTATCAGTAAATAAAACATAGACAAGCAAAAGAAAACAGAAATCTTTTTTTTTTTTTGTCCTATTAATAAACAAAAAATAAAATAAAAAAGACTGGTCGTGTACAAAGTTAAAGATTTATACAATGTTCCTGAGTTATAAAAACAGTCACGAAGCCAAAAATCGCATTTGGCAGCAGAAAGAAAATACATGAACAATCTCTGACTAATACAATTCCTTTTGATTGTGCTGAGTTTTCAAGCCTGTGCCTATACTAGCTCGGCTTCAGTTCAAAGTCTAACGCTGTATGGATTGGCTGTGGGTCACCCGTGTGATTCAACACGCCTTCTGGAAAAAGTTTGGCTAACCTTTCCTCTGCTAGGGACAAAAATCAACTGCAAAAATCGCCTTCCTCTGCACATATTATGAAACACAGCTTTGGAAAAGGCATTCTCTACTCCTTATAATTTCACAGTGTGGTGCAGAGCGCACTAACGACACTGCATGTAAATACTCTTAGTAGTGTCTCTACAAGCAAATACCATAAAGAATTGGTTATCATGAATATATGCATTGTAGTGGCTTTAAATTTGGGGGTTTCTCTCTAAAAAAAAAAAAAAAAAGCTTAAAAATAACATTGCCACAACATTCAGAACTAAACTTTCCATTATTAAAAAACTGCAAGTATTTATTTCAAATATAGAGGTGGTTTTGAAGCAAAGTCAGTGTTAAGCTGATCAAAATGCCTGGACCTCAAGGGATTGAGTGGGAAGCATGTCCTGCAGTTCACAAGAGCAGTGGTGTAACCAGAATCGTATCAGAACACCCTCCCTGTGCCCTCACACCCTTCCACTGCAAGGTCCTGCCTAGGATGTGAAGTCAGTCCTTGTAAACCAACTTTAAGTGCTTGAGTCTAAGACCCTTAATAACTATACTTAATAAACAGGCACTCTTTAATTTTTCCATAACATCTGATGGTCACCAGGATGATGTTAACTACTGTTACCACTCGTGATTCTCTTGGGTTAACTATAGATTTGCCACAACAGTTAATTAAAATCCCAGGCAAACAAGCGTGCCTTGCAGCATAATGAACAGGGAGCCACAAACTCCCAGCACCTAACCCCAGCTTTCCCAGTGACTCACTGCATGACCTTGGGCAACACATAACTGTCTTTTCTTTCCCTCCTCCCTCCATTTTTCATTTGATGAAGCCTCGGGGTTCTGCTGAGATCTGTGTTTACTTAATAAAACAAATCTGCAAGCAGGCGTTCTGCAAGGACACAGAAATAGGACTAAACATGCAAAACCGTAAGTGGCACATGACTCACTGTTTACACCCAGCCAGAGAAGGAGCTGTTAATTAGTGTTAATATTTTAAGCCTTTCTCATCCCAAAGGGCTTTAGACATTTTTATACATGGATTTGACTCAAACCCCGGATAAACATAACTCCCACGAAATGAAGAGCTGCACAACAGCACAAGAAATGGCTTCATCCAAGGATAAGACAAGATTAACTTGTGGATGGCATGCAGGAGGTTGGTATGGGAGACTAGGACAAGTCTAGAAGGACAATATCATCATCCAGGAGCCAGATGTTCACCTGAGAGGCACATTAGCAACGTATAACTTGAGTCAGGTAAGGTAAATGAAGCCTTGACAAATCAACTCTGAAACTCAAAGAAGAGGTTGCACGTAACCTGTGCCACAGAGGAATAAAAACCAAGAGACAGACAGTCATAACCAGTAGGTGCTTCGGGTGGAACTGCTTCATCCATGAAATAA